ATTTTTTGTGCATTATCACAATCCCACCACATATGTTTATATATTCCAACTTCTTTCTCGCACCTCCAACAAATATTTGTATATTTAACATCTATTTGATTTAATTTACGTGGTGTTAGGTACGCCTCCATATCACTTTATATCCATTTTCCTTAACTCTAACTGACATATTCTTATATACTCTTCAGTTCAAAATATTTTTCAAATCATTATCATTTATTTCTCCTAAATCTGATTCCCAAATTAATTTTAAATTTTTTGCCTGATCTTCTAATTCAGTTAATATTCTATATATTTTCCCAATTCTTCATTTACCTCAGTGGTGGGATTCAAAAAAATTTACTACCGGTTTTGTGGGCATGGCTTGATGGGTATGGCAGGGGGAGGATACTGTAAAATCTCCATTCCAGGAGAAGGTTACCACAGAATTCCCATTTCCTCCCGATCAACTGGGACTTGGGAGGTAGAGAATAAATGGGGACAGGGTCAGTCAGAGGTGGTATTTACCGGTTCTCCGAACTACTCAAAATTTCTGCTACTGGTTCTCTAGAACTGGTCAAAACCTGCTGAATACCATCTCTGCTTACCTATATATTCTTCATTCACTTCACATTTTTTTATAATCATTTCAAATTTTGTTGTCTATCTTTCTCTTTGAATATTTCTTCCATTTTTATCCATTTCTCTAATTGTATTAAATTCAACCAGCTTAATTTAATATCTTATAAAACATTCTTTAGTTGTGTTATATTCTTTAGCTTGTTCTTCCAGTCTTCCCATTTACTGTATATATCTTATTTTCTTTTAATTTACTAATCCATTCTTTCAATTCAATCTTAGGGATTTTTTCCATTTCCACTACCGGTGTTAACAGAGAAAATCCTGGCATTAACCAGTATCTCCATTTATTCCATAGTTTTATCAAAAAAAATTAAAAGGGATTTTAAAATTACAGTTGTAATTTTCTAGTACTGCAAGAATCGTTAGTATTTAGTGTGTAGTTTCAGTGATCAATATACATGACAAATTTGGAAGGGCGGGGGGCATCCTTTCATATCTGAAAATCAGAAAACCCCTACTCCACAAAGATAATAGATGCTATATATCAATATTAAATATTTATTAATTATAGAGAATCTGAATTTAGAAATATATTCTAATTAAGCATCCCATTTCTTTAGCTTATAATCAGTCTCTGCCTCCCACTGGACAAATAAACACAGGAACATCTGGACCCAGTACATGTAGACCGGTAAGGATATAATATGTTCTGGTAAAACTAAGAATAGAATAACGTTTAGTTATGTAACATTTAAAAAAATATTTTTAGTGATACTAGTTAGAAGGTCCCTGGTGTGTATTTTTAACGAAGAACTTAGATATTCTAAGTTTTCAGTTTAAATCTATATAACTAAATCTCAGGATATCACTATAATAATTACCATCTATAAAAGAGTGTGATTAATTTTAATATTACCAAAAGAAATTCTGATTCTATTATCTCAATCACTTTTCTTGTTGCATGGCTCATTTCCATCCTCAGATAGGGGCTGGGGTTGAAAAATGCATGCAGTGAAAGTAAATAAAAGGGTGAAAATCTAGCCCCCTGTCATCATTCATTTCACCATTTTATAAATATAAACATAAACCATAGGATATGTCAGCAACAAACATGGTTGTATTTCTGACATGAGTTAGTTCCTAATTAGTGAATTAACTGGATACATTTAAGCTTATATCGCAGCAAACTAACTTCACTGGAACTGGAACTGGACACCTTCAGTCAGATAATCATATTGTTTACTCCCCAAATTGTTTACTACATGGAAAACAAAGAAGAAATGATATTGCTTTCATGGTTGGGCAAGATATAGCAAGAACATTACTAGACTACCATAACTATTCAGCCATAACATTACTAGACAGTCATAATCCATTACTGAATGACATCAATTAGACTTCATTAATAACACATTGATTCTCTAACTTTATGTTTTAACCTCTGATACTGAAGAAAATGTTGAGGAGTTCAGTTGACAATGCAAGCAGGATGTGCTGCTTGTGATTAGAGACTGGAATACCAAAGTTGGAAATATTAGGGGGGAAATATAATTGGGGTGTATGGGACAGAGATTCTTAAAATGGGGAAATTGAAGTTTGTGTGGGATGGTTATTTGGGCAATTCCTGGAAGTTTTGACAAAGGGTCTGAGCAGCTAACAATCAAAATATAAGAACTCTTCCAGCAAGAATTTGCTAATTTGCTGGTATTCTGTTGCTGTTATTAAGCCCCTCTTTATATTTTTATATTTACCTTTTTGTCCCTCAGTTTGTTAGAGAGCTCTTTGTACAACCATGCCAAGCTCCTTAGATGTCTTGTTTTTCTTCTCTGTGGTATTGTTTCTGTTTGGGTCTTTTTTATTTCATTTTTCAGAATTTCCCAAGCATCTTGAACTGTTTTTCCCTCCAGAATTTCTATCCATGGAATCCTCCCTGTTCATCCTCCTAGTTTGTTGAAGTTAGCTCTCTTAAAATCTAGAACATGAGTCTGACTTTGTTCGGTTATCCTTGCCTGCATTGTGGTGAATCCTAGCATGACATGGTCACTCTCCATTCCCTCAATCATTTTATCCCTATTAGTAAATATGCAATCCAGTGTAGTTTATCCTGTAGTTCTTTCCCCATCTTTTGAATGATAAGGTTGTCAACAATGTGTGTTAGGTACCTGTTCCATCTTCCACTTGCTGCAAAGTTTGTTTCCCAGTTGATGTCAGGGTACAGTCCCCCATTAGTACAGTGGTGCATTTCCTGCACACTTCAGCTTACTGATTTCCAAAAGGTGCCTCTATTTCCTCTGTTGTTTGGGTGACCATGGTTGGATATACACCTATACTTGTGTGATTTCTTTTTTCCTCTTAGTATTCACCCAAATACTTTCAAAAAAACCTTCATACTTAGTGTTGTGTATTTCTGTAAATGTCTAGTATTCTTTAATACAATACAATACAATACAATACAATACAATACAATACAATACAATACAATACAATAGCAGAGTTGGAAGGGACCTTGGAGGTCTTCTAGTCCAACCCCCTGCCTAGGCAGGAAACCCTATACCGTTTCAGACAAATGGCTATCCAACATCATCTTAAAGATTTCCAGTGTTGGGGCATTCACAACTTCTGGAGGCAAGCTGTTCCATTGATTAATTGTTCTAACTGTCAGGAAATTTCTCCTCAGTTCTAAGTTGCTTCTCTCCTTGATTAGTTTCCATCCATTGCTTCTTGTTCTACCCTCAGGTCCTTGGAAAATAGTTTGACTCCCTCTTCTTTGTGGCAACCCCTGAGATATTGGAACACTGCTATCATGTCTCCCCTAGTCCTTCTTTCTATTAAACTAGACATACCCAGTTCCTGCAACCGTTCTTCATATGTTTTAGTCTCCAGTCCCCTAATCATCTTTGTTGCTCTTCTCTGCACTCTTTCTAGAGTCTCCACATCTTTTCTACATGGTGACCAAAACTGAATGCAGTATTCCAAGTGTGGCCATACCAAGGCATTATAAAGTGGTATTAACACTTTATGTGATCTTGATTCTATCCCTCTGTTTATGCAGCCTAGAACTGTGTTGGCTTTTTGGCAGCTGCTGCACATTGATAGCTTATATTTAAATGGTTGTTCACTAGGACTCCAAGATCCCTTTCACGGTTACTACTGTAGAGCAAGGTACCACATATACTATACCTGGTCATTTCATGTTTGTTGCCTAAATGTCTTTTCACCATTGAATTTCATTTTATTAGATAGTGCCCAATGTTCAAGATCCTTCTGTATCTTAAGCCTATCTTCTGGAGTGTTGGCTATTCCTGCCAGCTTGGTGTCATCTGCATTTTGATGAATTCCCCATTTATTTCCTCATCCAAATCATTGATGAAGATGTTGAAGAGTACTGGGCCCAAAACAGAGCCTTGGGGTACTCCACTGCATACTTCCCTCCATGAAGATGCAGTTCCATTGAGGGCTACACGTTGAATGAGGTTGGTCAGCCAGTTGCGATGGTGGTGATGCTGTCCAACCCACATTCTTCTACTTTATCTAGTAGTAGGTTATGGTCTACCTTATCAAATGCCTTACTGAAGTCCAAGTAAACTATATCAACGGCATTTCTCTGGTCCACTAATTTTGTCACATTATCAAAGAATGCAATAAGATTAGTCTGGCATGATCTGTTTTTGACAAACATGTTGACTTTTGGCTTTTGGCTATTACTTTGTTTGCTTCTAGGTGTTCGCTAATTCGTTGCTTGATTATCTTTTCCAGAATCTGCTGGTATTGAGGCCAGGCTGATAGGTCTGTAGTTTCCTGGATCTGTTTTTTTTCCCTTTTTTGAAGATGGGAACCACATCAGCTCTTTTCCAGTCCTCTGGTAGTTCCCCGGTGCTCCAGGATCTCTACATACAGTGCAGCTCCCCTTTTGTTGCATCTGTTTCTTTTGAACAAATTATTTGTTTTTATCAGTATGTTCCAAACATAGCTTCCATCACACCAATTTTCAGCAATAGCAACAATATTGTATCTGCCCTCCTGCATTACAACTTCAGGTCCTCCCTGTTTGTTCCCCATATTTTTATTAGTGTACAGGCATCTGAACCCTTTATGGCTGACTTGCATTTGCTAGCTGCATCTCCTGTTTTGTACCTGAGTGTCATTTCCTCATCACCACTTCCTTCCTTATTGTCAGATTCGTTGTCTTGGTATTTATACTTTGGGTTTGGTCCTAGAAATTGGCCAGATTCAGTTTAAAGCCTTTCAGATGACTCAAACAAGATGTGTTTCAAGCCCATACTTCCCAGTCTTGGTGAGCTGCACCCTGTCTCTTGCCAGGAACCCTACATATAAGTAGGTAGACCTATTGTCCAGGCAGCACTATCCCTTGAGCCAATGGTTTACCTCAGAAATCCTCCATTCTCTCATTGGATGTTGACATCACCTGTGTTCCTCTTTTCCTTTCCGCCTCCCTTGATTTTTTTTCCAGGCTCTTTTTTGTTGTATCATTCATCCCAACATGAACGAGGAGAAAGGAATAATAACCAATGAATTCAATTAGTTGGATAAGCCTCTCTGTCACATCTTTGAACTTTGTATCTGGAAGGCAGCTTGATAGGTTGTCTGGTCTGCAGATTGCTGATTCTATTTCTCTGAGAAGTCATGAACACATGCCTTTTCCTCTTCTGGATACCCAACAGACTCTTCTTCTCTGTGACAGTCTGAGCTACTTTTCTTCCTGTTATTGTAACAGTCGATGAAGATTCTTCTCCAGATATCTGCATGTGTTCTTCCAGGGGGAGGATAAGAAACTGAATGTTAAGCTCCAGTGGCAATCAAAGTCCTCTCAGGCGTTTTGCCTTCTGAGTGACCTGTTGCCTCCTTTTTCTTCTAAGGCTCCATTTTTCTTGGTAGTTGTTTCTTCCTTGTTGGGTTCAGTTTGTAGACGGGCTTATTTCCTTTCCAGAATTTCTCATTTCCACAGATAAGTCTCAAAATGATTAAACGTTTGCAGATCTTCTATTTTCCCCTCCAGTAATTTGATCAGTTTGCATTTGCATTTGATGCTGGTATAAATTGGAGTCCTCCTCAGGCAGGAATACAAACATAGCACATTGCAAGTTACCACAGGTTGGCCTCTTTCTCCTTGACTTTATAATTTATAAGAGTTGTGCAGATCCAATAGATATTTTCTTGGTAGATGCCCAAGATCCATATATGTACTTATTTTTTCATTGAAGAATGTAAAGCTTTTATTAATTGCTAGGATATCAAGAAATATGTGAAGCAGCCTTCTCTAACTTGAGACCTCCACATAAATGGGGCATCTAGAGACTATCAGTCTGGAAGACAATAGAACCGAAGCCCAATGAATCTGCAGGACACTAGGCTAGGGACAACTGGCTTAAGTTCCCAGCCTACTTTGAAACAAATCAATTCCAATTATAGTCATGCTTAAAAGTCTATATTTCTGTTTCAGATTGTTCCTCCCCGAGCTGGAGTTATTAGTGTACCACAAAGTCATGTGCGTCCTTCTATAGGTAAGCATGTGCCTGAACTCCACCCTAAGCCACCAGAACTAACAACAGGTAAAATTGGTAAGTATATTCTGCATTTTTTCTTTTTCTTTTTTAATGTAATTCTTCTACATAAAAGAGTGTTATAAGTGCATTCAAGGGAATATAGATGCTATCCCTTGGATGAAATCTAATTCCAAAAAACCCACTTTTTATTTTTAAAGCGAGTTAGTATTTAGGTCAACTATAAGGCAAGATTCACTGTGAGTGAGTTGGCCCATCATATAAATTTTATTAATAAATAAAATAAAAATTGCAAAGCATGTTTTGCTTTTTTTGTCTATAAGAAAGAATTGCTACTGGTTTTTTTCAGGGCTTTTAATAAATGAACATTTAATGAATGAAATGTCTTGACAGTGATTTGGAAAAGGAAATTCCCAATTATTTTTTAAGACGTTCAAATCTAAAATAATTACTGCATTATGTGAAACAATTCTAGAATCCAGGATTTGTGGTGTAGCTTTTCTTGAGTAGTGGTATATCTATATAACATCAAAAAAATAGGGGAAATTGGTTGGTCATTGTATTTCCAACTCTTTCTCCTTTAAATATTAGTGTTTTTTCAAAATTTCAAAATATTTAAAAAGCAATTTAAAAATTACATTCTAATATGAATGTAACAAAATATTGTATGTAATACCAGTACCTATTATTAATGT